TTACCTATGCTTATTGGGAAACCTGACTTGTGCTTACAAACACATGGCATTCATCAATATAAAAAACCACAGATGCGAACAATTCAAGAGTGCGTAAATGATGACATAGTTATTAGATATTAAGTCATTATTCTGACGACATTTCTCATCATAATGACGCTGGGCGGAGTGGGCGTCCATATTTCTCACATGTTTCAGAAAATGGCACCGACCTTGTTTTTATGAGCGTTGACTGAAGCGTAGCGGACCGTCCCTCTGAAACCTGCCACAGTCCTCGGCTGAACACAACCACAAAACAACGTTAGTGAGTCATCGGGAAGCTTCTTCATCTTAACTCATCTTAGATTTCTAAATGACCTCCTGCTGCTCAACAAATAAAAAACACACATTATTCAAACTAATTAAAATCTTGCAAATCTGGCACCAAACAAATAAAAAGTAAAGACAGACGTTAACATCATGAGTGCAAAGTAATTTTTAAATTACATTTTTCCATCTTTTTCTTCATATTGTTCTTTTGTTTAAAAATTCTAAATCCTGATCATCCCATTTAGACTGAGGTGGTGCAGCTCACGTCTCCGGTGGCTGAAATGAGTATTACAGCAACAATCACTTGACAAAAACAACAAATCGTGACAAAACTAGAATGTCACTCAGTAAAGAAGTGATAAATAAAGAAAATGATTTATTTTTATCATAAAACACTTGGCTGGTGATTCTGTTGTGACCCGTCTGTTGCTATAGAAACCACTCACATCCCTGGGTAACCATGGAGATGATGGAGAAACGGGAGGCATGCACGTCAAAATCATAAGTCCAAAGGAACTGTAAGAAACACAAAAAAACACACAACACTGAAACGTAAAAGGATGAAAATAAAAACACACATTTCAAAACAAAGCAACAGAAACATCACAGACCATAAATCATAGATAAAAGAACTGATGACTGATCAATGATCAATACAGACCGAGCGTCATGCAAACTCAAACTCTACATATACAACGAGGAGGGAAACCTTCGAACACCACGTTAAATACAAAGATATCAGGGAGACGATTCTCTTCTGAGAACAGTCGTTGGAGAAAACGTTTAGAAATGTTAAGTCTGAAAATAAAAAGGTGAAACATCGAGTTCATCAGAAATCGGAGGAAAGTGCAGATTCTTAAATCCCATAAAAGTTCTGTTTCATTTCTGTGGAGGCAAAAAAAGTAAAAACTCTCACATGGATGTGGGAGCTTTTATTTTCAGTGAATGAGCTTCTCCGAGATTTAAATGACAGAGCACTAAACATTAAGTCCAGGTGGAGGCGCTGTGTTTGCTGACGTTCGGGTTTAGATCTATTTATTCCATCCAGATGATTTATTCATCAGCCGAGTCTCAGAGCAGCTTCAGGCGAACAGCCCAGAGAGATCACCCTGCACGCCAAGCCCCGCCCTCAACTGGATCATTGACTTCCTGACCAACAGGAAATAACGGAGGCGGTTTGGCTGCGGCCCGTCTGCACCACATCATGACTCGGTGTTTTCTCAATGACTCCACCTCCAGCCACGCCCACAGTGGCTCATCTGGAATCTTTTCAATAATTTTTGCAGTTTGACGACTTTATTCTGGCTCCGCTTCCTCAAACCATCTGTTTAACCAACAGGAACTCATCCCTCGTTCTTCTCATCTCTCAACCAGCTTTAATGAATTCTGCTCTGCAGACAGATGTTCCTGTGGAAGCTGAGAGGACTTCCTGTTTGACCAGAGCTGATGTCACTCTTTCAGAGAGGGAGAGAGAAAGAGAGAAGGGGGGAGGGGTAGAGTGACAGAGAGAGAGAAGAAGAGAGGGCGATCCTCTCCTGAAGCTGACTCAGCTGGAGAGACAGAGCGAGAGAGAGAGAGAGAGAGTGAGAGGGAGACACTGGGAAACAATGGGTGGAGGAGAGGACAGAGAGAGAGAGAGAGAGAGTGAGAGACTAAAGTCTGACGCCCACTGACGCAAGAGCATCAAATATTCATCTCACTGCAACAGACGCAACACAACACTGCAGGAGGAAGAGAGGAAGAGGAGAGGAGAGGGGGAGGAGGAGAAGAGAGGAGAGGAGGGGAGAGGAGAGGGGGAGGAGAGGGGGAGGAGAGGATGAGGAGGTGAAGGTGGGGAGGCGAGGAGAGGAGAGGAAGAGGGGGAGGAGAGGAGAGGATGAGGAAGAGGGGGAGGAGAGGAGAGGATGAGGAGGCGAAGGTGGGGAGGAGAGGAGAGGAGAGGGGGAGGAGGAGAAGAAGAGGAGAGGAGGGGAGAGGAGAGGGGGAGGAGGAGAAGAGAGGAGAAGAGGAGAGAGGAAGAGGAGGAAGACTATGAGGAGTTTGACGGTGGAAGCAGCTGACGTACTCACTAAGCTAAAAATAGCTCAGTTAGATAGAGAGACATGGACAATGAATGAGAAGAGAGAGAGAGAGAGAGAGAGAGAGAGAGAGAGTCCAGCAGACCTGACCAACACTGTTTAACACCCTTTCACAATAAAAGTATTTTCCTATCTAGAAAACTGCAAAATTCAGCATCAGGATCTTTCAGATATCTGATCAATGATTAACAGAATTTATTATTGAATCACGGACGCTCTGTGGACTCATGTGCTGCAATGCAGTAAACACACCCCGAACGTCCGTCTGCCACATTTATTTCAGCCTCTAATTCTTCAGTGTTCCTCTTTTAAAGAAGCTGAATAAAAAACACGAGAGGAAAACAGAGAGAACAGTTTGTGTTTCGTTAAGAAGACAATATATAAATCTGATTCCAGGAAATTATCAAACGAATTATGAAAATATAGAAAATATACATTTAAATGTTAACACATGTCTCATGGTCTTCAGATACAAACACCAAATTGAATTACATTATAATTATAATTTTAACTGTACTAAAATTTCTATCTTATTATTTATTGAGCTGTCAATCAAATCTTTTTTCATATTGATTTATTATCATTTAATCAACTAGAAATTAAAAAGAAAAAACAAATATAAGCTAGAAATGTTCTGTTTATTCAGATTTCTTGTGTTCTTTAAAACTTTGTCTCTCTTAACTTAATAAATCTGAGTAAACAACTGTAGAACTTAAAGTAGAACACACAATAACATGAGTATTCTACAGAAGAGTTCTCTTCAGTGTAGATTCTGTTCTTACATGAGAACAAATCCCAGATTTTAAAAAACATCGGTGAATTTCAGAATTTTCCTAAAAACTGCGTAAGTGTGTTTTGAGAAAAACATTCTTCTTAAGAACTGTTTGTGAATGAGATCCATTGTGGATGAAGTTTCTTACCGGTCGGACCTCTCCGGTGGTGTTGGTGTACTGACGCGCCAGACCGAAGTCCAACATATAGCACTTCCTGTAGGTGGAGGGAAGCCGGCCCATCGCAAAGTTCGACTGTGGAGAACAACAACGCAATTGATTTGTGATTTGTTCGCAGCCCAGGTGTCAAATCCTTTAAATCAACTTCCTGTTTATTGTCACCCTCCGCTTAGGAAGAAACAAATCAACAGTGCGACAGGCGTCATCGTACCGGTTTGATGTCTCGGTGCAGGAAGCCCACTGAGTGGATGGCCTCGATGGACTCCAGGATCTGCTTCCCGAGCCGCAGGGTGGTGCTCATGGTGAAGGTTCCTCTGGGCTGACTCCTCCGCAGGTCGGCCAGGTTTCGACCCTGCGACCACAAACACACGGACGCTCACACAAAGACTAATCCAGGTTGTGGAAGTGGTGGAAGTTAACAAGCTGTCGTCAACAGGTCCGAGCGAACATGTGTGCCAAATTTAAAAGAATTCCCTGGAGATGTTCCTGATACAGTGGCGAGGTCGGAGCGACCTTTGACCATCAGAGTCTAATCAGGTCATCAAAGTGAATTATGACGTAATGTTTCCTCAACAGTCCTGAAATATCACATTTACAGGAACATGAGGTCACCGTGACCTTGACCTTTGACCTCCGACCACCACAATCGACTCAGTTCATCCTCGAGTCCAAAGAAAATATTTGCAGCAAATGTGAAGAAATTCCCTCGAGGCGTTGTTGAGAAATCGTGTTCACAAGAGCGAGGCGGGCAACATGAAGCCTCTGGAACCTGTCAATCACACGCTTGACTCACCTGAAGCTGCATCACCACGTAGTTGAATTTGTCGTTTCTTCCGCAGCCAATAAACTTACAGACGTGGTTTTTACCTGAGAACGAAAAGAATCAAAGGTTCAGTGTAAGAAAACTCACATCCCGTCTTAAGTCACCGGAGTACTTCACATGCTGTGTACTTATGTGACTGGAGTACTTCACATGCTGTGTACTTATGTGACTGGAGTACTTCACATGCT